GAGGTGTTGGTGTTAACGGATATGTTTGAAATTCCCACAGCATGCTTGTTTTTCGTTGCACTGCGAACTTCATAGGGTGTACCCCCCCCAATACATCAGCTAGGAGGATACCATTAGCTGACGAGCCATTACTGATAAGCCAGTAGAGATGCTCCGACGCGGTGATATGGCATTCATTCTGCACACAGCAGGAAGATAAGGGGGTAGAGGAGGAATTAATGTGTCAATCAGAGCCTGTGCTCTGCCCTGGCAGATGAGTACACCGCAGCCATAAAAGAGCTCATAGACAGGATGTGGTAATGGTCCTTGGAGACTCCCCCGGAGACAGATACACTTTCTGCTGAGTGACTGCTCGGCAAATAGGACCAAATAGAATTAGCCGACCCGGGTGTCCTCCACTGTGGCTATGGTGATGCGGCGGTGGCAGTGGTAACGCACCTGACACGAGGCCACTGTGTTAAGGGGCTGCAGAGAATATAAGCAGCTCATGCTAACGTTTCGTACACAGACAGACAGCCACTGTATTATTTGCACAGGAGAAAGAATACAGAGGAAATTGGAGGAGCTGGCGAGGATGGCAAAGTGGGGCCTAACGGAGATAGGATGACACTTCAGGAGAGTGCATGAACAAACTGAGGAGGGATAAATCCCACTCTATTTCTTTCTCTGCCTCTCCAATGACAGAAAATGACCATCTTGACGTGGAGTATCTCAGACCTGTCAGAGATTGACAGGATCGGCTGGCTGATAGATTACAGGTGGAGCAGCGAGGGGTGAGAGCGTTTTTGCCACACTTATTGCAGTTAAAAGGACACTTTAAATAATACTTGTTATGAAACTGATTATGACATTTGTAAGCCTTGACAAGTTCTTATAAAACCAGTAAAGAAAAGAAAATGTCACCAAATTACTTTACCTAAAATAATCATGTTACAGCAATAATTGAAACATTTCTCAAGTCTCTCTGTTAAATCATTGAGCTAACGCTAATGAGCATTCAGAATTAGCCAACCAAAAAACAACAAAAAAAACAGCATTTATTTTAAGTAACACTTCTCATTCACCATCATATCAAATACTGTCCTTGTGATCTCTTGTTATCACAGATGTCATCATTACACAAGCCCAAGCATTCATTCAACACATTTTTGGTAACACATATTCTGGGGCATGTAAGTACATTTTTATCAACTGACAGTGACACAGAGACATTAAGTGGCTCAAAGTATTTGGATCAAGAATGAAAAATGAATGATGTCCCCAGTTCTATAGAATGGCCTCAAACAGACTCGAATACAAGCAGTCCCCGTATTGCCAAGCAATTTACCCAACGTGGTTTTCTCCTTCGTGCACATCTAATTTAGCACGGCTACGGCAAACACACCAAGTGTTGCTTTAATAAAAGTAAAGACAGAAGAAACTTAATTCTCCATGAGGAATCCTTAATTATGTGGGTTTTCCCCCAGGGTGCAGACATAAGCTAGGCAATTCAAGGTCAAGGCTGTTAGTTCTTTAAAATGAACACAGAATACTTGTCATTGTCAAACATCATGTAATCTTGGACAACCAGCGACGGGCCTCCCAAAAAGAAATGCCAGTAATGAGAACACAATACCCAGATACTGATTGCTTGTTTCTTCAAGGCTGGGCCGATATACATAAAGATCCCCCTCACGGCAGCCTCGTGCCGAACTGGAGGTGACCTGGCAATCTCCGAAGAATTCAAGTCTGACACGTTCTGGAAACACATCACTGCATGCCATCTCAAGCTTTGCTTTGATACGAGCGAGCTTCACAAGGTGCAGCAATCTAAACTGACTTTGCTGTGGCAGCAACTCGTCAGTTTTATTCAAATACAGTGTAACTGATTGCACCCTGGGGGCACACCTGGAAGCAATATTCTAATTAAGTTAATCTGTGAAATCCTGACAATGTGGGTGTTCAGGTGGCTGGTAATCTGATGTGAAAGGAGTCTTTGTTTTCATTGGAAAGATACGGGAGGAGCTGGCACCTGTTTCAGCAAAACGTTGCAGAAAATTATCGCTGTCGAGTTATCCTGAGTGCGGGCAATTACAAATGACAGTGTTTGTCTTTCTCCTCATGAAACCCAATTTTTACACCGTCGTTTTTTTCCCCTGGTTTTGGTGATGGCCTGTCAAAGTATTTTTTTCCCCAGTCTTCTTCTTCTCTCGTCAGCAATTTGCTATGGATGATTCGCAACCGTCATCAACTTGATTATGATAATATGTATTTCTGAGGAATTTAAAAGGTCAGTGCTGCTTTAGCCTTTATCCAGATGTTCTTTTCTTCTTGCACTCTTGGCAAATACATGTACATCAACAGTGTATTTTGAAAGATTCCAAAACACTGACACTTGTTTTGAAATATGCTATCATTCATTTACATTTACTGTTGGCCACAGTACCATCATTAGATCAATGGAAAACACCAATACCTAACTTTGAGTTATTATTCTTACTTAGATAATAAGCTTTTAAATAGCATTCACATTATATGTGACTAGTTGCAATGTTGGGTATGGCACAGGTCCTTACTGTTCTATTTAATGAAAAGTTTTAAATAATTTCTGTTTTGGTGTTATTATAACATAATGTAGTCTGACGATGGAATTTCTAAACTGCTCTGATTGTACACACACTGTTCATGTATGTATGTATGATTCTTGTGTACAGAAATCAAGCATCAAACTAATGTTAGCCAGCAGGGATATATTTCATGACTCTGTTAGTGATATTATACATAAAAAACAAGTCCTGTTTGAGATCTCTTACAGGCTCCTATGTGTTACTTCTTAAGTGGCATTTAAAGGATTGTTTCACATTTTTTCAAGTCAGTCTTAAAAAAACACAGACATGCCCATATGTACATAGAACAAGTTTTTGGTTGTTGAAATTGTTCAATGTACATATTAATAAGACTTAGTAAGACAATGTGACGCTCTCTTTTAAACAACAGCCTAACCCTCCACAAGACCAAGAGTTAGAACGTTAGAACTGAGAGTGAAAACTAAGAACTGAAACTAAAGCTTGAACAGACACGAAAAAGCAAGTAAAGGATCTAGGAGTGAGAATCAATAGTTTTACACAAGCCAAGATAAATTATCACAAGACTGCAGCCTTGGTTACAACTTTCTTGCCAACAATTATTCATTTGCAGTATTATTTGTCTGCCTATGGGACTCACATTAATGAGTTCGATAATAAATAAATCGCTGAAATCATCAATGCAATTTTTTCCTAGATTGCATTCAGTAATTTTTATCAACAAGTAATACATTTGTTTCACAAGCTAAAACAGCACTTCATGGAAATATTGATGACAAGAGAACAGACTCAACAAGCGAAGCTGGCTCTTGATAGTGGACTGTGTAATAATTGGTACAAAACTCAACAATCAGACAGCTGAAAACTTGGCAGCAATGTATAATAGTCCACCATATCTTGAACTGTATCCCAGTCTGCCTAAACTGGCTGACATAAGGGGTGCCAAACGCCAAATATGGAGCTGTTTTACTGAACAGACAGAGGCTGACACCTAACCAACAACACAGCAACACCGCTGAGTTTCTACATAGCATTGCTTGTTTTTTGTCTCTTGTCTTTCTTCCAGTAGTGTTGTTAGTATCGGAGTATCAAACTTTTATATATTTAATGTCAAAATTTGTGACACTATATAGAACTGTTACAAGTTTCAAATAACTGATAGAGCACGAAGGAAAACAACACCCTGAAAAGGAAACACTCTGAGAGCTTCCCTCCTACTTTACTTCCCTCTCTACCCCCCACAGTGGTGCCAGGGAGCCGTATGGAGACTGACAGGCCTGCTACGTCTCTCTGTCGTGTCAACTAGCTAGCGCCCTCGGTTCCTTCTTGCTTCAATGAAGAGATAAAAGCCTATTGACTTGCCAGGCTACAGTTAATGCAAATTGGGCCTGCTATCAATGTATTATTTATAGGGAGAGCTGCAGACATTTCCACAGAACTGGGAGCTAAGCTTACAGGAGATTAGGCATGCTATCTCATTCATTTACCAGGGAGTAATTGCTAAACTGTGGAGGAATTAGAATGCGTGAGGTTCCCCAAAGGCGTTTCATCTTGTAACCAGGTGGCTGCCATCAGACAACCACCTCAGAGTCTGGGATAAACAAATACACAGAAGTGAAACTGATAGACTACATCTGTCAAATTGTCAAATGGTTAAAACTTGATGATGTCACTGCTAAAAGAGTATGCAGCTTTTTTTAAGCATACGAAGATGCTGATAATGCTAGCTCGTTTTTGTGTTCCATGTCTTCACATTTGAAAGTTTTGAAGAAAATTTTAAATTACATTTAAAATGTCCATAAACCAACAAGAAAAAAAAGGCACCTTGTGAGAAAAAAACACTCTGTTGAGAAAAAAGGAATGTATTTATATGTGACTGGAAAATGATCATTGCAAAACTGTCTAATGTTAAACTATAATGATTACATAAGAGCTCAAAGTGGAGCTTTGATATTGCTATCTAGTATATTAGAGAAACAAGCATTTAGAAGTGATATGTGGGCCATGCGATAAAATTAAATGTGCACACACTAAAGCTTATTGTATGTAGCATATGCTATGATGTAGACCAGTGGTTATCAAACTGGGGTCTGGGGACCTACAGGGGTCCTTGAGGATGTTCCAGGGGGACAAGATATTAGCCCAATAAGAGACTGTATAAGAATTATAATAGATTGATGTGTATCAATCTGGGGGTACTTGACACCAAAAAGGTTGTGAATCACTGATCTAAACTAGACACTGAAAAACAGCTTCTTCCTGTACTGCATTTTCCTTGCAAGTGGCAGTGTCTTTTAACTTTTAAACTTCGTCTTTTTTGTTTTGCAAACAATAAACTATGACTTTCGCTCTTTTAGTTGAGAGCTTCAATTTGTTATTCACAACTCTCAACCACTTCATGTGGTGGGTGAATAAACACAGGAAAAGCAGTCTTACCTTGTCGTCAATGTCACTCTCGCTGTCACACTGTAACAGAAAAGAGACAGCCACATGAAATATAAGGAATTATTCATTTGGCTCCCCCCCAGTAGCCCATAATCAGTGCAGATGTTATTTTTGTGTGCAACCTCTCATTCACTGACAGCTTTCAGTGCAAACGGCAGAGGATGAAGAGGGAAAGGAGAATGTGGTAGTCTAAGAGAGTTTTTCATGTTTAAAAAGCAGCACAGCCGCACAGAACGCCATTCTGGTGTTTCTGTTGCAAATTCAATGCTGTATATTTACAAAAAAAATTAATAATACTATAAACTGGGTTCTATTATAAGGAGCCTGTTCAATAATTTTACATTCAGCTGCAGCTTGTCATTTAGCCTTTTAAGAGTGCTTTAAAATTGGACGATAGTATCTCAAGGACAGAGAGAGCTTAGGCTCTCTGAATACTCAAACACAGCACCTATTAAGTGTGGTATTTCAAATCCACCTTCTGACAAACCAGTCCTTAATTTGTATGTCAGACTTCTATAGGGATAAAAGAACTAAATAACAAGAGAGGTGGTATTCTGAAATATGCCTTGTCTATCACACGGCCAAAGGCCAAAATACCATCTGTTCAGTCAAGAAGTAAAATGGGTTTTTTCTTCAACACTTCAAATTTCACCAGTCGAGTAATTTCACTATTAAAATATGAAGTAATCAGGCTTAACTATCTTGAGAAGAGGTGCAGCCCTAAAAAAAAAAAAATAGATAAAGAGAAAAACGTCAGACCTTGTAACTGACAAACAGAAGGCCAGGGCTTTTCATTCCTGACATGTTCACAGGCACATAATAAAATAAAATAGCAAATAAAAAAAAAAAAAAGGGATTAAACTCCAGGACTTTTTATTCACCTTCACTCTAAAATAATGTGTGAAGTCAATAACCCTGGCTTACACTTATTTTTTTGTCTAATTGTTTTTCAGTGCATATAACACGTTTTTATGGTAAACATGACCACTTTCCTTAACTGAAATCCAATCCACAAGATCCTTGCTTCTGTTTCTCACATTCAGTTGTCGCTAAATGCTCTTGGCTGGTAACTCTCTCCCCCGGCAATGTTTGTAAAGTTGTTGGCAAACGGTGCGGTGTCGGTGGAGCGTCACATGGGCTCACAGCAGGATACATGAGGAGCAGAGCAATTCAAGCGGAGAGCCGCAAAGAGAGGGGGGAGTGCCCCCAGTGAAAAACTGCCATCAATCTGTCAATTAAGTTCCTGTGGCAACATATTTAAGTGGACCCTCTTTATTTTGTTTGACTCCCTTTCAGAGCCGGGCACAATGAGGAGGGAGCTGGGTCAATGGAGGCACAGCGGCCCTTTGTTGCGAGTGCGGTGGGTCCAAATGTATAATTAAGTAACGAGAGTAATCAGTGCAAGGGCTCAGTGGCCAAGATCTCTCAGGAGAGGAGAGGAGAGTTCGGGGGGGGGGGTGGCTTCCATGCCCCGTGATTCATCCTACTTTGACAAGGGATACAGCAGGAGTCCTTGCTGGCAGAAGCTTTAAGGGAAAAACATTGTGGCTCAACCCCTTGGGAGGGTTTATTGTTTGCATCTCTATCTGTAGAAAAAAAAACTGTGTGAGCTCCGATTGTTCATCCTGAAGCATTCTTACACAAGACACTAAACAAGAACATAGACCTGTAGGATAAATACAGTAAAAGGACGTTTAATATGAGGCATTTTACTTGCTGCAGTGATCGTTGTTTATCCTTTCAAAGCATGTCAGTGAGCATCAAGAGAATAAATGTGAAAGCAAAGGAAGCGTCCCTCACAATGCTGTAAAAAATGTCCCTGTGACAACTGTATTGTGCTGGTGTAAATATGTTTGAAAGTGTTATTATTTATTAGAATAATATTATAAATGCTCAGCAAAATATGTTACTTTGTTGCCTACATTTAAAAAAGCAATATTGATATAAAAATAAAGGAAATGTCCAGTACCATTTCATGACCATTGACACAATAAAATAATAAAATGAAACTGTTTAGTATTAACTTAAAAGTACATATCCACATGTACTTGGAATGGAAAATTGGAAAATATTGGCCACATTTCTATGCAACATGTCCTCTTTTCTCTTGGAGAATGTTTGCAAACCCTAATTTATGGGCTTTTGCTTGTCAAAAGTCCTTCATTACAGAGTGCAGGGCATTAAGAAGAGAAAGTGGCTTCGGCTTCTTGTCAATCAATTCTCCATTCAGACTAAGGATTCGGGACAAAATAATTGTCGACCATTTCTGTTAAGGGGCACATCACAACCTGTAATCACCATCCATTTGTTCCCTCACCACTGTGGTATTTTATCTGAAAGGAATCACATTCAAAACAATGTTTCTCTCCATCTTGATCCATCTTCACATTACAAAAAAGGAAAATTGATCTCCAACTTCATCCTACCCCCTGGAAACCGATGTAAATGTATTCTTAGCATGCAGCTGAACAGATGACTTCCATCTCACAGCGGTTGTGAGTTCCTCTCTATTACTGGGGACGAGTTTAAACCCTAGGTGATGGAGATGAACAACTGGCTCAGTCTATTCCCTGGGTGCATGCCTGGCCTTGTTGTTGCAGCAGTAGCCATGACACTAGAGATGAGGCCTCACAAGGCTGGAGCTGGCGAGGAAGAAAAATAATATCAAAAGAGCACAGCATGGTGCTTATCCTTTTACAAGAAGCATGCACTGCAGCAGGGCGTAAAGAGGAATACTAGCTACGACTCAGACGGAAACAGAGAGAGACACAGCACAGCAGGGGAGAGATAGGTAGGTGGAAAGGGGGAACAAAACAACGCTAGGAACAGGCAGGGGGGATGCTATAGAGATGAAGGGATGGACGGATGGAGTTAGTGTTAGAGCAGTTTTTGTCAGTGCTGTATGTGATTGCCCTGTTGGGCTATTACACTTGGTTGAGTCAAAGAAAATAATCCGACGAACCTATAAAAGTACAAGATTGGGTCATGTTTGCGAGTGTGTGGGTGTGAGAAGAAGACCTCGTCATTTAGCAGGCTATGCTCCTTCGAATATCTAAACCGGGTAAAAGATTTTCAACAAGGCTACGCAAGAAAACCAAATGGTGAAAATGCAAATCCACACACCCAAACAGAAACCTCCCTAAACAGCACGTCTGGTGGTCAGAGGGGACTTTGTTAAAATCGGAGAGATATGCAGCTCACTAAGCTGCCTGACAGGAGCCAAGCCCCTAGTGGTTTGTGTCTCTCATAGATGTTCACAAACCAAACAAACCCCCACAAAAAGAAAAAAAGAGGAAGGAAAAAAACTGGCTGGCTCTTCAGAGGCAGGGAGCAAGCAGCAACATCTGCACCTGGCAACCGCCAGCTACGAAGGGTAACGGGGGACCAGCTTCAGCGGATGGCTCATCCACAACCCTCCCTCCCAGCATCCCACCTCCTCTCCAACCCTCCCTCCCCTCAGCCAGCACATCAGACGGATGCGTTTGACATTTACACAGCTTTCAACACTTCAGAGACAGGAGATTTATTCCGCCAGCGGCCTTGGCTGGAGCCGGGCCTCGACCTGGGCTGGCCCCCATGACGACCCTGTAGCTCAGCCCTGAAATGAGGCAGGGCTGAGGAGAGAGGAGCAAGAGGGAAAAAACAGAGAGAGGGAGGGAGGGATGGATGTCTCGATTCTCCTGGACATTTTCTCTGGCAGATTCCGATAGACGTGCAAGGGGAAGACAATAAGCGTTGCGCATCCCGGAGCACATTAAAACGACTGGCCAAATTAATCACACAGTTCCACTTGTCACACTCGGAGGACAGTCTGCCATGAATTCTGCCTCAGAGATAGAGAGAGGAACAGAGGAGGAACTTGCCCGGGTACGCAAATGCTGGCACGGCGTCAACGACTGTCTGCCTGAATACTGATCGCAACCCTGTATTTGCTGCAAGAAATCTAGAAAAAATAGTCAAAACAAGATCTGCCTGAGCTGCTGGCATTTAAGTGTCACTGTCAGTTCCTACTCAAAATAAATAAAGTAATAAATAAGATGTATAAAAGCAAAAAGAGAATATGTATGAAAGTGTGCACTGACAACACTATTTGTGATGAAAGCCAGTCATTGTAAGAAGTTTTTCCAGCAGATTATTTTGTAAAGTATGCAAGGACTTCAGATGCAGTGATAACCGGAGAAATAACTAATAAAGGGTACAAACAACTGTCAACTGTTTACACTATTCACAACTGTTTCATGGTACCCCAAAACAATGTTGCTCTGACTTTAACACTGAATTGTTCCATTTGGGATATGGCTATTACATCCTAAAAACCTTCACATTGCTTTGTACCAGGGACTGAATGTCTTAAATCAAAAGATTGAAAAGTGACAAGAAAGAAATTATGCTGCATGTAAAAATGGAAGCAGGCCCACCAACACTCAGCAGCACTTGATCCCTTGTCCAAGTAAATAAGGTGACAAGCAGACAATGCACTGACAAGAGAAATAGCTTCAGTTTAGACGACATATCTCCAGGGACATATACTGAGATACCCCTGATTGTAAGGGAGCGAGCACTGACAAACCCAGATCTCCTAGAGTGAGAGCACACACAGGGGGTAATGGTCCATTTAGATAGTCGAGGACCAAAGCAGTGTTGGATACTGGAGGAACAACACCAATTTTCCCCCGCAATTTCCCTCCTGCGGATGCTAGGATGAGGTGTGGGGATGTAGGCGGCGTGACCACTCTGATGGGGCGTGGAAGCACAGCCTCGGGTCCGCTGGGGGACCTCCTGCCAGGCCTGAAACATCAGTGGGATATCTGAAGGTCTCTTTGGCCTAACTTTAACTCCCATAAGTTACCAACGGGATGTTTTTAGCATGCTCTTAGGGTTCTCATCCTCACTGAAACGTACTTAGAAAGCAATGAGTCACTACAAAGTTGAAGAGGAGATGTGTGTATGCATGCTTAGGTGTGCTTACGTGTGTGTAAACAAGTGAGTGCTGAACGTGAGTGCCGTAGTGTATTAATTTT